GAGAGACGTGCAAAACAAGGACCCTGCCACTTATGACGCCCTGTTAGAAATGGTAAGGCGAGAAATTCTCAATGAGAAATTGAGCAGCTCGGGACTCTCCCATCCTCAAATGCAAAGGAGAAGAGGTCCTACTTCCCATTTGATGGACCACCAGATACCCCTAAATCATGGACAAGAACTATCTGCAGCAACACTCAATGCATTACCTACTTTGGCCTATAAGGAAGTACTAATGCTGAAATGCATCAGCATCAGCCCTACCGAAGGCACCCGCAAATGGGAAAGAGGTAGGGGCGAGGCGTTGAACCTAGAAATAGGGATGAAGCACCCGATTATTGTACCTATCATCAATCCCATGGCCATCGCATGAAAAACTACTAGGACATTGCAAGACTCTCCCAAAACATGAATCAAGGAAGAGAGAGGCATTTCTAAAGAGATGCTCCTCCCGGTAGACCCAACAGTCTGGGAACGTTGAGCCAATGCGCCCCAACAGAAATGACCCCCCGAGAAGGAGAGATAACGACACGAAAAGACCCTGAGAAGGTCAAAGACAAAGAAGAAGCTTCCAAGTAAATGATGGCCAGGAGCCCATCAGGGAAATCGACATGATCATTGGAGGCCCACATGTGAAGGGAGAATTTAGAAATGCTCAAAGGAATTATGCTAGAGAAACGACAGATCCTCCTATGATAAGAACCGATCTGCTACCGAAAGAGCAATCCCACCGATCACATTCACTCAAGAAGATGTAGAAGGTGTGCATTATCCACACTGTGACGTCCTAATGATGAGGGTCGTCATGGCCCGTAACTACTTGAAAAGAATGTTAATGTATAATGGAAGCTCGGTCAACATCATCTTTGGAACTACCTTTGACAAGATTAAAGTTGACCACAAGCTGACCCCAATGAATTCCCACTTATATGGCTTCATAGGAGATATCATTATTCCAAGGGGTAAAGTCACTCTAGCAATAGAGATGGGAATTGCACCCTTGACTGCTCATCATTTCATGGAATTCCTGGT